TGAATAGTGAATAGTAATTTAAATTGAAAGTAATACCCGTAATTTAGGTCATCTTGCAGTGAGACGTACATATCGTTGTTTAGAGAATCCAGAATAGTCCCGAATTAATAGTTTTTTTACCCCTTTGGGAGGGGCATCGTACACTCGGAGACCTATCTCCTTACTATGCCCATATTTTGACAACCAGTCAGCCACTTGGTTTCCTTCACGATAACTATGAGAGATTCGAACCTTCCAATTTCCCTCAATCAACTCAAGTATCGATTGAACAAGAGGAGTATAAAGATCATGTTTTTCCGCCCGTTTATTCAGAACACAGTCCACTGCATCAACACTATCAGACTCAATCCACAGCTGCGAAATCTTTTTCTCCTTAGCAAGCTTCAGGGCAGTCAGGACACCCCACAGTTCAGATTGCACACTAAAGTCATTAGACGTTGGATCTGATGATCTGACAGAAAAATAAGAGATTGCAGTGTCACACTTAAAATACACATGAAAATCAAAGTTACACTACAAACCCAAACACAATTTTTAAATTAACTTCATTTAAGAGTTACCCGAAACAGAATGTTCCAAGATTTAACGTGAAGCCAAAACACCAAGAACCTGTGTGATCACGGAAAACTCCACCACAGCTAGTAAGATGTTCTTCAAGCTTATAAGACCCATCTACATTAGCTTTAATCCATCCCACCTCAGGAAAGGACCACCCAACCCAGATCTTTTCATAGCAAGCCCCTGTTAATTGTCCAAAATGGTAAGCAATATCGCAAGAAATTGTGAAAACAATGTGGCTAGAATAGCCACAACTGCAATTATGGAGACTTCAACATTCAGAAAATTGCAATAGCAGAATTACAAATTTAACCATGAGCAATAAATATCGTAAGAAATAGTGGACAAATGTGGAGACTTCAAAAATTCAGTGTGGTTACGTCAACAGCTTGCAGATCAAAACTTTATACCATGCCAGTAATAATACTTTTTTGGTTGATATGGTTGTCTAGAAGCTCTCACATCAGTCATGGTTACGTCATCATTTAAATGTGCTGTCTGGATTGAACGAGCTGAACCTGTTTCAGTGTTCCTTCTTGTGGGATCCCTAGGCTTTTCTGCACCTGTGGATTTGCTAGCTCTAGAAGGCACATCATTGTGATTTATAAGCCCTGTACAGAATCCTTCAAGAGTCAAGAAGGTTTTCTTTGTTGGATTCGAACAAGCCAAACCTATTCGAGCATTTTTACTTGTCTGGTTAATTGAATTTTCAATGGCCTCAGGTTCAGATGCCTTAACTTGAGATGGACTGGTCTGGTGTGCATCTTGATTTATAAGCTGTGTTTGGAATTTTTTTGTATTAGTAGCATTTGTTGTAGTCTGTTTCATAGCACAATCTGAGATGAGTGATATGCAAGAACGCCCATGACAAGAAAGAATGCAAGCTAGGGAATCCACTGCGGCTTGTAGAACAGGAGAAAGAACATCCGTTGAATATGTCACCTGAAAAGAAACAAACACATCATGCAGATTAAAAACAGGAACAGGCATTTACAAGATATAAATCTCTAAGTAAAGAAATACTGTCATACTTTGTATATAATTGCTGCTGTTAATAGCTCTCTCAAGTAGTTCATGTGAAAAGCATAGAATGCTGTTGACTCAAAATAAAGCCATCCATCTATGATTACTGTGATTATATTATCAGTACAATCCTTTGCATGATCAACATCAATCTCTTTGGAAAGCAAAAATAATGGAAATAGTCCAACAATGGTACTGTCCCCTATGCACAAGCCCCGGTCGACGCTAGTAATCTCATCATATACAACAAAAGAGCAATCAAGAATTTTCTGTGAAGACAACTTATAATTCAAAGTATGACTATTCAAGCAAACACTATCGATACTTTTAGTGTTAACAAGAATCTTCTTTCCACTTCCGTAAGGAAAGAACAATTTCCCAACCATCGGGTACATCCCTGCTACCAAAACAGCTTGAAGTATACCAGGATCATAGGCATTAGAGCAATAATTTCTACTACTCCTATTAATAAGCCCATTCCTATATAGTTCCACAGCTAAATTCTTCCGCATGACATCTAACTTGCTCATTGCACTTTGAGAAACAAAGTACTGAGAACAAAACCGTGATTCTAGACCCATTTTCTTTGAATTAACCCAGCATTGATATGCTGCTATTATAGAAAACTGATCACCACAACCCCCATACAACGAAGCAAGCTCAGATCTAGCAGCTGCAGCTCTCTTCTTTTCATCAGGTAAAATAGGAAGCACAAATAGATCTTTACACTTAGATGCACATGCAAGTGTTAAAGCTGGATCAAGGCAATTCATTAATATGGAAAAAATAAGCATCCTGCTCGTATATGGATGAACAGGAAGATAGCCAAACTTCTGCCCTAGCTCTGTCAGGTGTTCATCAACTGACAATGCCCCAATCTCCTGAAGAACTCTAGCAGCACTTCGAATAGACTCAAAACCAGGAGGATCTAATGTCTGACTCAAAAATTCTTCTATTTTACAGGTTGGATCAAACAACTTAACCTGTGAAAAAAAAAAATAATGAGACGAATTTTTAATCGTGTTACTATGTCTTAATTCATTCACATATATATTCTCTATTGCATATAATATGAAACTGTAAATATAACTGGGGAAAAAACATCATAAAAAATGTACGAAGCACAAAAAAGATGTAGACAAAACAAGAAAGTAAAAAACTTAACCATCTTGGTTCTTATTAAAGAGAGATTATTGAACAAATCCCTCCCCAAAAAGCACTAATAGAAACCATCAACAACCCATCGAGAGGACAAAGAAAAAAGTTGTACTCAAAAGGTTTGGATGACAGGTAAGGAGAAGGAGAATAATATTTGGGCATTCAATAATAGAATGGCACTGGAAGATACTCAAAGAGAAATCTTTCCCCTTAGCTCTCAAATGCCATAATTTTTCCACCAAAAAACAGAAATCTGTCTGAGGTTGGTTAGAAATCGATCATAACAATTCTAACAGGAGTCAGAGAACTATTAATAAAAAAAATGGGCAGAGTTATGATACGCTGCTCATTCTACCAGAAGTTTAATAAATAATAACTAAATGTAACTCCTTCAGATAAAATAACTCAGCTGATTGGGATCACCTATACCATAGAATCATTGTGAATTCTCTGACGTAACATAAAAAGCTTTTATTTTCTTATTTTATATCTCAGTATCTTCGAGAGATTATAAAAAGCTTTATCCTCGTGGGATATAAGAATCACAAACTTTGACTTATCAATTAAGGAAGATGAAAACCTGCAAACACAGCTCCTCAATAGGCATTCTCTTAATTTCAGGAACCTGAAAATCTAACAAAGAATCTGCTTGAACTTTTGAATATAGATGATAACAAGCTCCAGGATGACAGCGACTGGCACATCCCTCTCTTTTCTTAGCACTAGCTTTTGAAATCCAAGATGATTGGAGAGTAAATAAATTTTTGCAAGGATCATAACTTTTTTCTTTGATAAGCCCAGTGTCGATAACATACACTAAATCATCCAGAGGGACAGCAGTTTCAGCAATATTGGTAGACAGAACAATTTTGCGACAACCATGGGGTGCGGGCATAAAAGCCTCATTCATCTCAGAGGCTAGAACCATTGAATGAAGAGATACCACCTTAAACTTTGATCTTTTATTGAAAAATGAGGATGAAAGCAATCTTTCACGTGTTCTAACTATCTCATCCCAACCTGGAAGGAAAACAATGATGCTTCCATCTTTTGAATCAACACATATTTTTCTTAAAAGTTGTTCTATCAGAACAACATCAACATCTTTAAGGTTGGCTGTTGTAAGATATTTATCTAGTAAATTTTTCTCTTCTTTGACAGAAAAATCATTATTCATGTGCTTCTTCAGCAATTCAACAGCTACTGGCTGGTGTTCTTTCTCAGCTATCTCTAAAGCAGTTGTTCCATCTTTGGCCTTTAAATGGCAGTTAGCCCCTAATGATAAGAGCATGCACATATCACCCACTTTACCTTTTCCAGCAAACACCATTAATGGATTGAGGCCAGTTAATGAATGCTGATAATCAAAGACCTTTGGCCTAGCTTTACTATAAACAAGCTCTAATAGTGAGCACCAGGCATCATTAGACCAAGCCAAATGTATTGCTTCATCTAGAGACAGCTTTTCTACTTGACTAAGTCCATGGTTATCTGCACCTGATTTTACAATAGAAAGTACATCCTCCAAGTAGTAATTTTTTACCTAAAAACAGAGCAAGAGGATGTTAAAGTCAAATGTGATAACTTAGGAGTTATTTAACAAAAGAATACTGTACACACACCGGATACGTGAGCCCTGGAACATAGATAATTGGGCAGGCACCAAAATATTGAGAAAATCTTGTAGCATCAAAACTACCACTCATCAGTATCTGTAATACGATGCGGATGGAACACAAACGTTACAATGATTGATAAAAACGGTGAAAAAGAAACAGAATATATATACATATATGTGAACATACCAGACGTAGGTGGGGATTTGAAGGCAGGATTTCTCTGCATACAAGTTAAAAAAAATAAAAAACGTCAAAAGCCATTGTAAATTTATACACAGCATATCAAGGTTACTATAACAATATATTAGAGACTGTGGAACATAGGTAACAGGATAATTATCCAGAATCTGTACTATCACAGGGTCAACTAACTCATCCGGTAAAACCACAGTACGAGGCTGATTTCTCAAGGAAAGCCACCAGGCCAGTTCACACTCTTGCCAAAGCGCAAATTTTGACACATGATGTAAAAACTACAGGACACAAATATAAAAACAGAAGAAGATTCAAACAATAATCAATATTTGTGTATTCTTGAGTATTCACAATATAAGTGGACTACTTTTGATGAACCTGAAAACATACTGAAAATTGGTTATAGTCTGATTGATGATGGACCAAGGTGAAATTTTTCCAGTTCGAGAGAGACATAGGAAACTAGTGGGAAAACTCAATTAAAAAAGACCAAACATTTCTTTTGCAATCGAAGTTCTTAGTGAATTCATCCAATATCTTCATACTAACCATCAGAACGTTGTAATTTGCATTTGCAGATATCTCATATAAGCTCAAAGGAAAGGATTGTTGTATGAGTACTAAGATACTAAAAGTATAAGACCTTTGAAGATTGGGCTCATTGTAAGATTGAAAAGAGATCCACCAAAAGATA